ATGAATACTTGTGAACATCAGGGAAGTCGGGGAATATTGAGAAGAAACTGATTGATATGAGAAATAGATGGGATAAAAATGGTAGAACTAAAATCTTTACACAGAGCCATCTATATGGGCTCGATAAAGTAGTATCCACTCTATTCTCACATGAGAACACTGCTAGGTGAAGTAAGTGGTTGAGAGTATATCTTTTTCTTCCCTATTCTTCCCTCAGGTGAGTTGGAACGAACTCTAGAATCGGAGTAAAGAGGCTTAGGCTTTTGTAAAAACAAGTCGACCTCTCTAGACCCTTTCGAAATACATAGTAACGTTTGTACAATCGTAGAAACTGACACATGACTGTCCACGATGCCCTCAATCATTTGTACAAAGCCCTTGCTCTCTCGCAACACCTATGAAATACTCCGTGACTTTTGTACAATTATAGAAACTGACACATGACTTCACAATGCCCTCAACCGTTTCGATGTATTTTACAGCTGTTTCGAGAGACCAAGGGGTTTGTACAAACCGTTGAGGGCGTTGCCGATAATCACGTCTCGATTTCTACGTTTGATACAATCGTAGAAACTGACACATGACTGTCCATCGGTGCCCTCAATCGTTATGAACCCCTTGCTTTCTCAAAACACCTCGAAAATACATGGTAATGTTCGATGCATACATCGTTGAAACCGACACACGACTAGCCATAGTGCCCTCAACCATTTGTACAAACCTCATGATCTCACTAAACATCTCTAAAATACATCGCAAATGACACATAACTGTCCGCAGGGCCCTCAACCGTTTGTACAAAGCCCAAGGGCTCTCTCTCTCGAAACTGCTGTGAAATACTCAGTGACTTTTGATACCGTTTCGATATATTTTACATGTGTTTCGAGAGAGAAAGGGGTTTGTCCTAACCGTTGAGGGCCTTGCAGACACTCACGTGTCAATTTCTACGTTTGTACAATCGTAGAAACTGACACGTCGCTGTCTGTAGAGCCCTTAACCGTTTGTAAAAACACGTCGATCTCACTAAACACTTTTGAAATACATAATAACTTTTCTACAATGGTCGAAACATTGTCCATGTTTGGCACAAATACACCTCATCAATCACATTGTTCTAACAATCAATTGGAGGGATTGGTACAATGATGGTTCGAGACATTTGGAATGTAGAGAGAAATCGATCGGGGAATGAGCTAATAAATGATAATAATAATAAAAATCTATCATGGCACATGAATAAAATTAAAAAAAATCATGGTACATACAAGTACAAACAATTTGGAACCCATCTGTGCGATTTCCGTTTATTACTAATACATTCAAAATTTTATAAGGGGATGAAACATAGAAGGGGGTTGCCAAATATTAAAAAAAGGACAATACATACAAGTACTATTGACGCTAAGTTCATGCCCATGAACATTTTTTTATTCCCTGTAATTTCGACGCTGCACGATTTGTCTCCTATCCCTCACATAAGGGGGTGAGAGGTACAAACGAAAGTAAATACGGTACAATTAGGTACTCAATGAGTACAATCGGTCGCATAAAAAAAATTTTCCCAACTTCGATGCCAACTTCACATAGCTATAGAGTCACCATGAATGAGGGTTTTTGGCACTCGTTAAGAGCGTCAGATAAATTTAGATAAAGTAACCTCTGTAGAGTTTCTACGTGGACAACGGATCGAAAAGGGCCTAAACTTTAAAACCCTTCTAGTGCCAGAGTTCCTAATCGATTGAATTAAAAATTGATTCATATTTGCTATGTACACGAATTAAAAGAAGCATAGATTTTCGAAAATATGCATTTTTCATATCCGTACTTAATGCAGTGTTCCTGTATTTACGGCAAAAAAATTTAAAAAACATTGTTCTTCGAATTGATATTTCTCCAAAATTCTTCCTTGTTTTCATTGGTATACAAACAAATAATAACAATGTTTAAATCTATTTTTAGCATACTTCATTGAAAACTGAAGCAATTGAACGTTTTTAAAAAAATCATTGTGAAAAAAAAACAGAAGCTTCCAAATCTAATACATCAATCGGCATTTGCGTTACATCAGCATACGACCTTCAACATCACATCAGGAAAAACCCGCAGGAAAATGGTGAAGCGTTGTAAATCTACTTCAGCATTTTCGCCAATCTTCATTTCAATTTTCATTGTCTTTTACATGATCATATCTATTCACAAATTACTGGAGAAAATCTATTCACAAAACATTCAACAATGAAATCAATTCAACATTATCAATTAGCAAACGAAACATTCAACATTATCAATTAGCAAAGGTATGTACTCTCGACGGAAAATATTTTCAATCCTGTACGTGACTCATATTCTATTTGAATTTCCCTTTAATTATCCAACTATTTCAGTAAGTATTGAATTTACGAGAAGATGTCAGGAGATATTTAGTCCCAAAATTGCTCGTTATCGAAATAATCGCATTATTCATTATTCATTACACATTTCCTGATTTACCTTTCCCTTAAATTAAATCTTGGGATTATCCCAAAGTACATTTTTTTAATAAGTTTGATATTTTCTCCTACAAGCACTCATTAACGAGGTGATGACACAGGTAATTATTGAGAACCGTACAATTTTACTCTTCGAGATGGACGGGATAACAATAGTTATTTTCATCACACGGTCCACAAAGTATTTTCTGACGAATGTGGCTTTGTAGGCCGAGCCGAAGACGAGGCCTATAATCACATTCGTCAGAAAATACTTTTGGACCGTGTGATGAATGCAATTTTTCGTCAGAAGGTCCGTAAACCGCGATCAAACCGAGCGACGCGAGGTTAGAATCGCGGTTTACCGGGTCTTCTCACGAAAAGCTTGTTTAAAGTAGCTCTACCCTTCGGCCGGGCCACGCGGTACTTTTGAATATTTTCACTTTTAAATTTTTCAACTAAATTGCATGGAAAAAATTTGAAAAAATTCGTACCCAGTCAGTATTATCTAAACTAAATTTCGCAAAATATTGATATTTTTTCAAACATTTCCCTCTTATAAATAAATAATAAAACTTGTTTACAAAATGGTGGATTATTTTTTATGAGGTGTCAACGAATAGTATATTTCGTCACTAGACCGAACTGCCACTGCAAACATATGAGCTAGAAAAGTTTTTTTTGGCCATATGACGAACAGTATTTTTTGTTATGACGGCTCCGCTCCGCTCCGCGTCCGTGAAGCGCTGCCTCACGGCCGGAATGACAAAAATTTTTTTTTCATTACGCTGTGACGAAAAGTGAACTTTTCGGCACGCTCCGCGTGCCTAAAAGTCCAATTTCCGCCACATTGTGATGAATAATATTGTTCGTAACTCGTTAAAAAATGTTTTTTAGCTCGTTACGAAATATACTAATTTTTTCACATCTAATGAAAAAAAATTCAGATTTTAATCTTTGATTACAATGGAAATGCTGATTTTCCCATAAGACACTGGGTTAAATCCTGATTTTTAAACATTTCTTCTTTGAAAAACCAAAACGATAATTAAATTGAGGAAAAAAATTTGAATTCCAAATCTAATTGAGTTTTCTGCAATTTTTTAGCAGTTTTCAATACCCTTTGAATTTACCGTAAGGGTAGAGCTATTTTAAATTAGAATTGTGCAAGTAATGCGTGAGATACCAATGGAAGCTTCTCTCTTCTTTTTTTTAATTAATAGAGTAGATAAATTATGGAATTATTTCGTCAACCATACATTAAAGAAAAATCTCAGAAAACCCTTTTCAGCAATGTCTTTCTCCTCAAAAATAAAAGATCCTTCAACAATTTCAAACTTTACGATCCCCTGAGGGAAATCAAATAATTAATTTTTCATTTTCAAGGGATTTTTTTCAGGCTTCAAAATGAGACCAGATTTATCCAAATATTTACGATGAAAAAACAAGTTAAGCTTTTTTTTTTAAATTCAGTTCTCTTTATAAAAAGTTCCCTATGCATTCTCTCCTAACATCGCTTGTTACTGAAGTACTTTCATAATTTTCAAATAAATCCCAAGTTGAAATTTTTTACATTAATTAATAAAATAAGTAGAATTATTTCAACAGTAGAGTTATGCTAAACTTCGACCGTTTTAAAGACTTTCATTGAATTTTTTCCTCAACTTATGTTTTTTAGAATTGACCAAGTAATATAAGAGATACCAATGTAACCTTCCCTCTTTTCATATGTGAATAGAGTAAATAAATTATTCACTGATTTGTCCAGCAAAAGGTCAAAGAAAAATCTTAAAAACACTTTCCAGCAGATTGGTTCTCCTCCACAAAAAAAAGATTCTCTAACAATTGCAAACTTGAAAACCCCCTTGAAAAAACAAACTCCCACCCCGAACTAAAAACATTATTATTAAGCATAAGAGGGTGAAACGCGCCGCTTTTAATCTCCAATAACGTAAGATCCCTTGAGTAAAATTAAACAATCATTTTTTCATTTTCGATGTATTTTCTCAAACTTCTACACTGCTAGAATTTTTTTCAATTCAAGCAATAGATGTATTTGAATGCTCAATGTTGTGAAGTTGAATTCAATTCATGTTTCTCCATGCTGAACAATCATTGATACTTCACTGACATCTAGAACTTTCAAACGCATTGTGAAAATGAAACATCACATTAAATTGAATCTTCAATGGATTGAAAATCCAAAACATTGTCATGTGGACCTGATAATTGCAACTTCATTGAATACTCCAGGATTTGACTGATTTTTCAGTAGCCAAATTGAAATTTTACGTCAATGGGACGTTGTTAAGAATTTCAAGATTTTTTACGTAAAATCACGTATGAACAAATTCAATAGAAAACCTTAGCGGATTCACTAGAAAATTCTAATAGAATTCCAATAGAATTTCTAACGAATTCCCCAAGGTTTTCTACTGAATTTTTTCATACGTGATTTCATGATTAATTTTCCATGATGTTGAAATAATCCATTTTACCTCATCTCTCCCCAGAAATGTTTGGAGTCCTTACCTGCTGTGAAAACCGATGGAACCCTGCCCAAAAGTCCACCTTGACACGTATTCTATCTCATTAGAACGACAAATGGAAAGTATAGATAGATTTTCACAGTGTCACACCTGACATTAATCCCACATACGTGTATCATCAACTGTTTCACTGAAACGTGTCTATCGTGGTTAGCGATAAGACAATTGGTTCAACTGATAGTTATTCGACGACAATTAAGTAACAATAAGGCACCGAACATGTTCAAACAATAGTTACTCAACAATTCACTGCATCACAATGGAATTAACGTCCTTTTAAGCTGAATCTTTAGGATTTTGTGGGTTTTATAACACGATTTGGTGGAATGTCATCATCTGGTAGGACACTGGGTGAACGGTGGACAACTTGTGATCACAATCACCTGTTTTCGTGCGCCATCATGTCACCTACCCTCGCTTTGGGGCTACGCTGGATGTAGAAATCTGAATTATCGACGGAGTTTACATTCAATTGCAAAAGGACGAATCTTTCTATCGGAATATTCCAGTGAAAAAATGAAAAAATGAAGTCATTTTTTGTAGAAAATTAAATTCGCTACGAAAAAGATGTTCTGACATTTTCCGCTGAGACTATTATTTACTGAGATGTTTGCGAAATAATTCATGTTAATTCAGTTTTCAATAAATTTGTCCCATAATTTCGTTAATATTTTAGCAACTCTACCATTCGTTAATAATTAACGAATCTCGTTGGGAATAAATGAATCATTCTATCAGTGCACTCGTGCACAAAAAAGCACTTTACCCCCTGCCGCTCCGAACAGTGAATTCGACAGGTATCACAAAAAATTAGATGTGTTGCACGTGCGAGAAAAGTATTTTGAAACTCGTGGGATTATATCACTCGCCTTTGGCTCGTGCTATAAACCTCCCACGAGCCCAAAAACACTTCCGCAATCGTATCGAAATATATTAATTTTGTCATAACGGACGTAGGCAGCCGGAAAGCGCTGCCTTACGGCCGGAATGACGAAACAGTATATTTCGTAACGAGTGCAAAAAAGTGTTTTTTGGCGAGTGGGATAATCCCACGAGCTAAAAAACATTTTTTCAGGAGTTACGAACAATATTTTTCATCACAATGTGGCGGAAATTGTCACAGCGTGATGAAAAAGACTATTTCGTTTACTTTTCGTTTAGGAGTAAAGAAAAAGGTACTTTTCGGCATGAGCTGAATGTAGCAGCAGTGTAAAAAAAAGTTCCCCACCACCTTAATTGCTATGACGCCCGCAAGGTGGCGCCAGGGGAATTATTCCGGAATCAGTGCAGTCGAGAACCGCGCGGGAGACACCGGCGAACAACTGCGAACAACCAACAGTCGCTATTCCACCCAGAGCTAGCAACACGTGTTTTCTTGATACAGCGGATATTTTGCGATTCAGTTTTTTAAACAAAAACGATCAAGTAACAAAAGATAATCATCGAGATAAATGTGTTTCATCGAGTATTGAAAAATGCCACGAGGTACCAAGGAATCCGAGGATGATCTCGAGCCCAGAGGTGAGAGTGTCCATTGAGGCTGTAACGGTTTTTGCCTCTTTGTTTTCCCATTTTTCGTCGCCTGAAAATTGTCGTTGAGATTGTTCATCAGTTTATTCATCTACGTTTTCTCCCAAATAATTCAGTCGTCAACATTAAACACTTTTTGGACTTCAGGCATTTTTTATCAATTGTCATTTTGTTTATTTCTATTTTACTTGTTTTTATTTAACTATTACATTTTTTACATTTGTTTAATTTTTTCTTTTCATTTTTTTTAAATATTTTGATAATTATTTGACAATTTTCGTCGAGGCATTCACATTCACGTTGACATTTATGAACATTCAAAATTTTTATGATTAAAAAAATTGTAGTCCAATTTTTTTTGTATTCTTCCGATGTTTCCCTCTTTCGACAAGCATAAACATTGAAAATTTCCCAGGACTCGATCATTTAAAAAAAATATTTTCTATAAAAATTTTTCAATAATTTCACGGACAACAAAGGATTTTATAGAAAAGCTTAGTGAATCCCCTAGAAAATTCTACTGGATTTCAATTGAATTTCTGAAAGAAATTCTGATTAGTTTTTCACCGACTTCGCTGTTTTGCTATGCATTTTTTATTCAATAAAAATGTTCAATGGAAAGTATTTGATGCATAAAATTAGTAGAATTTGATATTCTATGCAATTTATTCTATTGAGATATCAATATTAAGTTTCCCATTTTTTTTGTGATATATTATTCGTTTTTTTTCGAAATTGTCTTACATAAGGGATCAATCGAAATTCATGAATTTTTTCATATGCATAGACTTTAGTAAGCTCTAGTCAATTACACCAATTAAAATTCAATTTTCCATACAGATTTGAAAAATTGATGTTTCTCCAAAAATTAATTTTCAATGATCACTCAAAAATTGTTATCAAAATGGAATTAGTCATCCCTGGCAAAACAGTCCGATTATTTCCGACTGGGTGATAAAAAATGAATCGGCGTTAATGATGTTTCTGTCTTTGCCCGTTAAATTCCGATTGGCTGGTAGGTAGAGTTTGGAGTTTGAGAAAATTATGAGAATTAATAGGATCAAGGGTATGTGGCCGTTATCGTCCGATTACTTTCCGAAAAAGTGGTTGATAGATCTCATATTGCTCATGTAAATCTTTAATATTTATTGCTCATTTAAATATCTATATGCATAATGTGAGATCTATCAACCACTTTTTTGGAAAGTAATCGGACGATAACGGCTACATACCCTTGTTCCCATTAATTCTCATAATTTTCTCAAACTCCAAACTCTACCTACCAGCCAATCGGAATTTAACGGGCAAAGACAGAAACATCATTAACGCCGATTCATTTTTTATCACCCAGTCGGAAATAATCGGACTGTTTTGCCAGGGATGACTAATTCCATTTTGATANGGCTCAAAGAAATTGATAACAATATTCTTTTGATTCTATCAGAATATGATGAGGGTCACACAATTCGTTGTTGAGTTACAGCACATTGTTTTTCCGATTTAAAAGAGAAAATCTGTTTTTTTCATGATTACTGAAAGAATCATCAGTAATATCACTTAAATTCAGGACTTAAAAAGTATATTTCAGTGCCTTCTTAATCAAGTTAAAAAATGGTGAGAACAGCATCATTGCTTATCAAGTTACACAATACCGTCATGTGCTTTTTATAACAAAATCTCTATCTCTTTTAAACTGAGGTACCAGTGTAAAAAGAATATCAACACAGTTACGAAAATGTGTTGAGTAGGGATAATCCCCAAGGACTATATGAATTGTATCGCAGAATATTGACGAGCAGTAGTCGTTCACGCGCCTTGACAACAATCGGGCCAATTTATACAAAGTAAATTGCTGAATAAACTATTCCGATTAAAATGGATTTGAAACGTTTTATTATTTATTAGAATTCAGTTTGAACCTTTTAGAACTCTTATTACACCAGTCTATTATGTTGAATACTTATTCATATTGATTCATGGTCTCGACTAACTTCTGATAGAGCCTGGGTTAAACGCTGTCTAAATTCCGAATAAACCCTGATTAAATGACGGCTATACCCTGATTGAACATTGATTGAACCTTGAATAAACTCGGACTGAAAACGTATTCGAGGCTTGAGAGGGTCTGAATCTCTGAATATAGAATTATTTGACAGAACAAAATAATACACAAAATTTTAATGACATTTCAATTGATGATAGTACTATGGCATGAAAAAATAGAAGAGAATGGCGAAATAAAAATAACAAAAAAGAGAATTCATTCGAAACCAAATTGCTAATTTATTTGCACCAATAACTATACTCATTTACAAAAAAAAAAATGCAATTATCCACTTGTTTGTCTTAGTGTTGGTTTTGAAATTTGACAATAATTCTGTGATTTTAGCCCGACGAACACGAGCAACAGCCCACTCAGTCACAAATTCCCCCCTGCGTCGTAGCACGAGGAACAGACAGACGACAAAAGATGATTCATCACCAGAGTCTGTGACGAGTGATGCTGGGCCATCGACGAGGACGAGGAGACGTAGAACACCGACATTGGAGTCGATGCAGGCCGAGCCGGTGAGGAGCTTGAGGTCCAGGAAGACGTCGACCACATCTGATGTCTCCGAGACCACTGAGAGCGAAACAGGGGGTGAAGGGAAAAAGAGGACCACAAGAAAGAGCTTGGTGGCACCCTTGGGCATTGAAACACCCATCGAAGCCAGATTGAGGTATTTCAGGAGGTTTTTTGGGGACTAGAGAGTTTTTGCTCGCATTCTGAGGAGTTAGAGATGGAGAAAAAATTGTTATGGGATGTCGTTTGAGGTTTTGGGGGATTATTGTAGGAGAGTTAAATGGAAATAGTGATTGGAATGGTTTATTATGATGAAATACTTCATTGATTCATTTTTATAGAAGTGAAATAAAGAAGGAAAATTGTTTTTTTTTTCAACAAAAATTTATTATTTGGAACAGATGGAGAAATTCGATTTTTTATATAATTTATTAACTTATTAATATAATTTTTTTGTTGTAAAAAAATTATATTTCTTAATTATAGAGATGGTGGAGTAGTGGCATTGAATACGAAATATTATTTAGTCAGTTAGAATGATCAACTTGAAAAGACTTTCATCGCCATTAACTTCTCCAAGTCGTATTGTTACTTAATCGAGCTTTATCGAAACACTCACACAAACTAGATTGAGATATTTCATTAGTTTTTTTTCTAAATTAGAGCGTTTTTGCTCGATTTCTGAGGACTCAGGGATGGAAAAACGTTGTTATGGAACGTTGAGGTTTTGCGGCATTATTGTATGAGAATTGAATGGAAATGCTCAGATTGAGGATCACAAAGGTTAGATTAAGGGTCTAAATAAGGGTCATGGGGGTTAGCAACTAAGGGTTACCAGCCTCAAAATCATGAGGAGTATAATGAGGGTCAGATTAAGGGTCACAAGGGTCATATGGGTGTTGACGAGCGGAGCGAGTAGGAGGCGTAGCCCCCTAGTTATTATTATAAAAATTTTCGAAATGTTTGAAGAAAAGAAAGGGCTCCATTGTGAAAAACAAAACATTTTTTCTCATTTTTTCGATTTTTCATCAATTTTTTCGATCTTTGCATTGCTGCAAACATTTTGAAAGCTTCAAGATGTTCAAATGGCTCACTCGAAGTACTATCATCTATGAAAAAATCCTATGGAGAATTCGAACATTTTCTACAGGATTTTTCAGATAGGATTTCCTATAGGATTTCTTATAGGATATTCTTTAAGATTTTCAATAGGATTTCCTATGAAATTTAGGGTCATAACGGTCAAAAAGAGGGTCAAAAGGGTCATATAAGGATCATATCCAGGTCATATGAAGGTCATGTGGGGATCATGTGGGGGTCATATGGGAGTCATATAAGGGTCATGTGTGGGTTATCTACGAGTCACATGAGGGTTACATAGGGACATACGAGGGTCATACAAAGGTCATAGGAGACTCATGCGGAGCAAATTACCGCCATGTGACCCCCATATAATCCCTATATAGCCTCCATGTAACTCCTATGGGACCCCATATGACCCTGATATGATTCCCATATGACCCCCATATGACCCTCCTATGATCCCTATTGGATTATGTGTAGGAATACTCAATAAAAACACATTAGTTTTATTCTTCAAAGTAAAACTCTTTAATGATCGCACGCAGAAGGTATATCTTTCTCCAACGAAGTCTCTAGGACGACTAACTAAAAGTCATGAGAGTTTTCACTCTCTGGACCCATTTGACAAAAGGCCCTTGTTTCAATTTTCTTCAGCCTCTCCTTTGTGACTCACCATGAGGACTGTTTTTCTTCACGTCTCTATTTTCTAAGAAAAGCCATAAATGTCACCCTGAGTGTTTGGGTGGAAAAGAGAAAATGTTTAACTAAACTAAGAAATTAATTTTTGTATTCAGGCATGAATTCCAACACGCCCCCTCAAAAATTAATCTATTAACCTTAACTAGTTTTATCATATAAAATGTGTACATCAAAAAATATTACTGGATTGAGATACACCTTCTTTATGCCTTCTGGGAATACTGTGTATAGCGCTACAAACTGATCAGGTGAAAAACCCAGGGAAAAACCTGATCGCCCTATACAAGTCATATATATCAACTTATCATCTAAATACATTGTTTTAAACTATGTCACTTTAAACATAAATTCTTCCTGAATTCCAAGAACCCTGCCGATGGGAGTGACTTCGTTAATCCATCTGCTAATTGCTTCCCTGTTGGAATATAAACCAATTTGATTACATTCTTTGCAACTTGTTCTCGAGAGAAATGATATTTTATGTCAATATGCTTGGATCTCTTGTGGCTTGACGGATTACTGGCAATACTAATACATCCGGTATTATCTTCATAAATTATAATTGGTTGATTAATTTCAATATTTATACTAATTGCAAGTGATTTGAGCCATAATGCTTCCCTCACTGCTTCGAATAAAGCCATATACTCTGCTTCAGTGGATGAAGCTGCAACAGAGGTTTGCCTTCTTGTATTCCAGCATATTGTACATTGTTCGAATAGTTTGAATAAGTATCCTGTGGTACTCTTTCTATCCGAACTATCATTTCCTCCCCAATTGGAATCAACATACCCTGTCAAAATGTCATTGTAATTACTTCTTTCATAGACCAATTGCAAATCTTTTGACCCTTTTAAATAACGCAAAACTCTCTTGAGGCATTTCCAAAGAACCTCATTATTATTATTCATGTATCGACTCAATATATTAACAACAATACTCAAATCTGGTCGAGTACAAACCATCAAGTACATTAAACATCCAATGACACTTCGACAAGGTGCATTACAATTCTCTTCAGAATTCAAACCTTCATAATCAACATTACTCTCCATAGGAGTATTCACTTGATTACAATCATGCATATTAAATTTAGTTAATATTGCTTCAATATAACTACTCTGATCAAGAGTTATTTTATCATCAGACCTTGTAATTCTAATTCCCAGAAAAAGCTTGATCTCGTTCAGATCTACCATTTTAAAACGCTCCATCAAATATCCCTTCAGACTGTTCATTGTTTCTTGCTCTTTCGTGACTAACACCAGATCATCGACATACAAGACTGCATAAATATTTCGTGTTATGTCACCTTTATCCAAAATATAAATACATTTATCAACTGGAGAATTCTGGAATCCTTTTTCAACGAGAGCTTTATCAAATTCTTCAAACCAGCACCTGGCTGCTTGCTTCAATCCATACAACGATTTATTTAATTTACAAACATAATTTTGATCATTTTCAATACCCTCGGGAACATTCATATATATTTCTTCTTTTAAATTGCCATTCAGGAATGCAGTTTTAACATCCATGTGATGAATTAATAAATTGAATTGATTAGCAAAAGCAATAATAAATCGAAAACTTGCAATTCGTGCTACTGGGGCAAATGTCTCATTATAATCGATTAAATATTTTTGACTGAATCCCTTAGCTACGAGACGAGCTTTATATTTGACGGGATTCCCATGTTCATCATGCTTGATTGCGAATACCCATTTACAACCAACAATATTTTTGTTTTCAGGTCTTGGCACTAAACTCCATGTGTTGTTTGCCAATAAGGAATTAATTTCATCCTGAATCGCGTGTTCCCATTTTTCTTTATCGTCTCTATTTTTAATTTCATGATAAAGGGTAGGGATATCATTAATGATGGATTGAGCATTCATGAAACAGTCTTCCGGTATATTCTTTTCATCATAAGAAATATGTGGCCGTTTTTTCAATCGGTCACTTCTTCTCGGTTCTGAAGTCATTCGTTTCAAATTATCTTTCTTTACCAAACTATCGAGGCTATTATCATTACTTGATTCACCTCCAATTGTCATTTCTGATTTGTCATTATTAGATTGATCATTATTTCTTACTGATTTTGAACTATTGTCAGAAAGATCAGTTTTACTGTGCTGAGACGCTTTTGTTGATTTAGAGAAACTATTAAAATCATCAATATTCACTGGAGTTTCACTTACAACTCCTTCAGGCATTCTTTCAGCCCTATTAGGCACTTTTTCAGCCTCATCAAATTCATCAATATTGCAATTATCTGATTTCTCAATATCAGATTTTGCTGGAGGTTTTATTTTAACTCCTTTCGGCATTCTTTCAGCCTCAGGGGGCACTATTTCAGCTCCACTATGCCCTATTCCAGGCCTTGACTGCAAAAATTTAGTTTCATCTACAATAACGTCTCGCACTACAGAATATTTTTCTGTTTCAACATCAAACACACGATAACCATTCGGTTCATATCCCATCAGTATTCCTTTCCACGATTTTTCATCGAATTTACCTTTACTGATTTTATCATGCACATAAACAGTGGAACCGAATATTCTCAAATATTTAATCTGTGGCTTCTTATTATGCCACATTTCAAATGGTGTTTTGTTTTCTTTTATAGCTTTCGTGGGTGTTCTATTTATCAAATACGTGGCTGTAAGAACAGCATCACCCCAAAAAATCTTTTCTAAACAAGCACCAGATATAAGTGTCCGAGCCTTCTCCGTTATTGTCCGATTCATCCTCTCGGCTACGCCATTTAATTGCGGAGTTCTCGGTACCGTTAAGTGAAAACTAATTCCTCTCTCCCGACAAAAATTTTTCATATCATTTGACAAATATTCTCTCCCATTATCGGAGTATAAATTTACTATTTTCAAATTGAAATGAGCTTCGCTTTTAGTAACAAAGTCTCGAAAAACCAAAAATAAATCTGATTTTTGTGTCATCAAATATGTAACACAATAATGCGTGTACTGATCAATAAATGTCGCGAAATAGTTTTTATTGTCAACTGTCGGAGGAGTAATCGGCCCACAAATATCTGTATGTACAATGAATAACGGTCTGTCTATATGAGACTTATCTTTAGCCTTATTGAATGGCAACCGCGCTTGTTTTCCTTTAATGCAAGGCTCACACAAATCATCATTTGGTGTGATTTGTTTAATCAACTCTATGTCATCAATCATTTCTTTGTTTTTCAATTCTAAAAATTTATTTCTACCAATATGTCCCAAGCGTTGATGCCAAACTTCATAATTAATTTTATTATTAGATGCTTGATTAGCTAACTTTACCCTTTGAGAGATAACCGCAAACTCGAGAGCGGTCAATCCATTGACGGATTGACTTTCCATGATCACTTGATCATCTTTTAAAATTCCTACCTTTTCTGGTCCAAAAATTACCGTAAATCCAGCCTTACGCATTTTCGGAACAGAGAGTAGATTGTGGGGTAAATCAGGCGAGTACAGGACATCCTTAAGTTCTCCCTGGAAACCTTTGTTGCTTGTCACCCGCAGCGTACCCCTTTTTGTTGCCGTGATGAAAACACCCTTCTTTGCAACAGTAATTTGTGTTGGGATCTCCAGGTCTTCAAAATCTGTCACCAGGTCTAAACGATTTATGATGTGGTCTGTGGCCCCAGAGTCGAGGAGAAAAACAATTTTTTTCTGTGTTTCCTCAAATGCCACATGTTCAAGAGCCATAAAAGCGAAACTCGATTTGAAGACGTTTGAAGCCGAGGGCTGCTCGACCTGCATTATTTGTGCAGTGTTTTTATTTTGCCTGTTTTTAGTGTATTCTTGTTGTCTTTTGTGATGAATACAATCTTTAATTTGATGCCCTGGCCTTCCACAATGATAACACTTGATTCCAATCGATTTATTTTGTCCTTTGAATTTATTCGGTCTTTTGGGTTTTTGTCGAAAATGCTTTTGATTTTTCTTATCACTTTCATTTCTGACACTTGCATTTTGGGCTTGAGCTTGAAGAATTTTACTACTGGTATCTCGACTTTCATTTGTTAATTTTACTTCTTGATCCAGCAGTCGTGTTTTAACAAATTCCAAGCTCAATGCATCCTCTGATAAAGTCTCTATTGCCGTAACTACACCATCGTATGCATTTGGCATTGTCAATAACAAATGTGCGATCTTGTCCATCTCTTCTAATTTAGCACCGGCTGTGATTAATTCACTAATCAAGTCATCAAAATTCACAAAATGTTTCAACAGGGTTGTCTCGCCCTCCAGTTTCAGTGCAAGTAACTTCTTTCTCAGTGCAAGTTGAGTCGCAAGGCTTTTCCTCAAATATAATTTGTCCAATTTTTCAAAAATGTCTCTTGCCTTGGTTTCATTTGTGACAAAACCCAAAAATGAATCACTTAAATAATTAACAATCACACTTGTGGCAGTACTGTCCAATTTCTTCCACTCTGCAGTTACATAATTAGGAACTGGTTCACTAATCACTTTTATTACACCGAGTTCAGTGAGTAAAGCATAAATCCTGAATCTCCAAACATTATATTTTTCACCATCGAACAACTTAATGTTTCTCCTATCGCTTTTCAACGACGTAGACATTTTAATTCACTTTTTAATAACTCAAAATAAGAAAAACTTGACCATAATAGAAAGAAATTAACTACTATAAAACGCGGAGTATCCTGGGCCCATAACCTATTGGATTATGTGTAGGAATACTCAATAAAAACACATTAGTTTTATTCTTCAAAGTAAAACTCTTTAATGATCGCACGCAGAAGGTATATCTTTCTCCAACGAAGTCTCTAGGACGACTAACTAAAAGTCATGAGAGTTTTCACTCTCTGGACCCATTTGACAAAAGGCCCTTGTTTCAATTTTCTTCAGCCTCTCCTTTGTGACTCACCATGAGGACTGTTTTTCTTCACGTCTCTATTTTCTAAGAAAAGCCATAAATGTCACCCTGAGTGTTTGGGTGGAAAAGAGAAAATGTTTAACTAAACTAAGAAATTAATTTTTGTATTCAGGCATGAATTCCAACAATCCCCATATACCCTTCAATAACCCTAATATACCCTTTAGGACCCATATATGACCCCCATATGACACGTTTGACGCTCATTGTGACCCTTATGCCCCTAAATTTTATAGGAAATCCTATTGAAAATCTCATATGAAATCTACAGGAAATCCTATCCGGAAAATCCTATAGGAAATGTTCAACTTCTCCATAGGATTTCCTATAAATATGCTGCAGAAAATCCTATAGGATTTTTTCATAGTGTATACTCTGGAGATAATCCAAAATAAAGACTTTCAAAATGTTGTACATTTTTCGATTTACCCCATCGTGCCCCGGCTCCCCCTAATCCACCCAAGCCTTGAATCTAAACAAATTTCCTCTCCCAACAGACGAACCACCAGAGCAGGCTCTGAATCAAAATCAATTTCCCCGATGGTCCGTCTGACTCGTCGCACACGTGCGTCCTCAGTGGACCCAGACACAACAAAGGACCGTTCTCCCACGACGCCCTCCACGCCCCTCCGCAGTGGCAAGCAACGAGCCTCGGTGCTCCCCTCGGAGCTCCCAGTCGTCGAGGAAATCGAGAAGCACCCCAAGGCCCTCCTCCCCGAGGACGAAGACGTCTTCCTGATGGAGTCCACCCCCTCCCAGCCCGCTGCCCCTTCCCCGAGCACCCCCCTGCCCCAGAAGCCCGGGCCAGCCCCAGTCGAAGAAACCCGCGAGTCCCTGGAGGCCTCCCTGGAGGCGCTGATCACCTTCACGACCCCTAAAACCCCTCCGAAATCCTCGGACAGTCGTCAGGAGATGATGGACAACGCCAGTGACAATGCCCTGAAGGACCTCCCCAAGGTCCTGGTGGAGAAAGCGCACCTGGAGACGAGTCCGGGGAACAAGGAGAACGAGAAGGCCCCCAGGATCACCTCGGAGCGTCCCCTGAAGTTCTTCAGGGCCGCCAGCACAGATCGAAAGTCCCAGAGCTCAACCGTCCTGGAGTGTCTGGAGGTGGACTCACGTTCAAATATCGACAATAAGCTCTCGAAATCAAGTACTCCAGGTTCAAAACTGATGGAGAAGGTGATCACCATGGAGAGCGATCTCGCTGACAAAGGACTGGAGGAGAAGGAGGATTCAATCATCTTCGTTGATGACACCGACACTGATGAGGCGCCTCTCGAGGTTTTCAGGAACGATAAATCCTCGGAGAAGCCTCTGAATGACGATGAGATCATCATCGCTGCTGTTGGCAATGACGAGATGTCTCCCTGCAAGTCGCAGACTCCTGAGGACGATGGACCTGGGGAGGATTCGAAACCTGAAGTGCCCAAGGAGAGCTCTGAGGGAGTTGAGCAGGAGGAGGACCCGGTGGAGGCCCAGCTCAAGAACCTCTTCAGGGATATTCCAGCTGAGGAGTGGCAAAGTGGGAGTTGCAAGTCTCCGGTGAACGTCGAGGATGAGGAGAAGAGCGACACAGGCTCGGATATCGTGCTTGTGGGATGGTCTGCTGATGAGAATGAACTCGAGGAGAAGGCGAAGGAGAACTTCAGCTACGATTCTGATGACATTGTTGTCATGCAGAAGAGGAAGGAGATGTCTGCTAGGGAGAAGGCCACACTGGAGGAGGTGGGGGAGGATACTGAAATGGATGACGAGGGAAACTTGCAGAGGAAGTCTGGGAAGTCGTCGAGGAAGTCAACTGATGACGTTGGAGCGCCTGGGGGAAAAAACAGAAAGAGTGCCTCGAGGAGATCTCTGGAGACGGAGACGGATTCTGACGAGGGAGAATGCACAAATCCAGATCTTGAGGAGGAACTGAATAAATCTAGGGAACTGATTTATAGATTCGAATCAGGAATCATTGATTTTTCAGAGGATTTCGAGAAGTTTAAGAGAAAGTCTCGAGTTGTTGGACAGGGGAAGAAATCAGATGCTGAGGAAAGTGGGGAGTCCAGGAAGAGTCGTTTGTGGATGTGGAAGTCTCTTGGAAGACGTGGAGATGACGACCAGGAAGAGAAATCTGAAGTTGCAGAGGGTCTAGATCAGTCTGGGAAAAGTATTTCTTCTGAATTGAGAAAGTCTCTGGGGAAATCGAACAGTCCAGTGGGAGATAATGATGAAGCTATGGACGTTGATGTGGATGGTGACGAAGAGATGTCGAGACCTGAGTCCGATCCAAGAGAAATTCAAATGGAAGTTCCGTCTGACGACGAGTCAATTGAAGTCGATAAACCAGAGGATGAGAAGAGAAATGCAAGACATTCTGAAACCCCTCTGTCACCGTCAAAGAAAATGCCAGTGCTTGAGCGTCAGCCCACATCACCACGTAATGCGGAGGAAATCATGAAGAAATGTCCAGAAAAATCGAGGAAGAGTCTCTCAAGAAAATCCATACATGAAGGAAAAAATCCAGTTGAGCAGAAGGAAAAAGAAGATTCTATAGTAGATGAAGAAGACACATCACCAAAGATTCAGGATGGTGTTGATAAATCGACGAGGAGTGCCAATCAGTCAGGATTACGAGTTTCTCTTTCTAAGATTCAGACTCCAGTGAAACAAAAGCAATCATCTTCGTTGGAAGAAGATAGAGGACCATCAGTCCAAGATAAATCGGAGAGTATCACCTCGAGGAAGTCACTACCTGTCTCGAAGACTCCCCTAAAACTCCAGCAAAACGACGAAAAATTCTCTTCTGAGGATGAAGATCCTGAAGAGATCACCAGGAAATTCAATAAATCGAAGGGAGTCTTGGCTCAATCCTGCGAGAAAGCAGAATCATCATCTTTGGAGGAAAAAACTGAACTAACGGGTAATGAAGATGCCCCAGAAGTTAAGAAGACCCTTGAAAAATCCAGGAGCCTCAGAACATTATTGAGGCAACCGCAATCAAATGGAGATGATGAGAAAACTTCTCAAAAAAGAAATTCTCTCACAGTCGAGAAATCATCATCAGAGGAAAAAGAAGATGAGCAAGAAGATGATGAAGGGACTCCAGAGGTTGAAGAGGGCCTCAATAAATCCGAGAAGAGTCTCAGGAGATCATTGACTCAATCAAAAACAAATGAAGATGATGAGAAAACTTCTCTTCAGAAGCGGAAATCTCTCGCAGTTGAGAAATCATCAGATGAAGATGATGATGAAGAGACTCCAGAGGTTGAAGAGGGCCTCAATCAATCCGAGAAGAGTCTCAGGAGATCATTGACTCAATCAAAAACAAATGACGATGAAGAGAAAACTTCTCTTCAGAAGCGGAAATGTCTCGCAGTTGAAAAATCATCAAATGAAGAAGATGATGAAGAGACCCCCGAGGTTGAAGAGGGCTTCAACAAATCCAAGAAGAGTCTCAGAATATCATCAACTCAACCAAAAGAAAATGAAGGTGATGAAAAAACTTCTCAGAAGCGAAAATCTCTCGCAGTGGAAGAATTTTCATCAGAAGAGGAAGAAGATGAAGAAACCCCAGAGGTTGAGGAGACTCTTGATAAATCGAGGAAGAGCCTGAGGAAATCATTGACTCAGTCAAAACAAAATGGAAATGAAGACTCTGAAAATTCTGGTAAAACTTCAGAAGAGAAAGATGATGATGATGACGATGATGATGAAGACACTCCAGAAATTGAAGAGCTCAAAAAAACCTGGAGAAACCTGAGAAGATCTTTAAGTAAATCAAATATTCCATTAAAACAAGAAGAAGATGAAGAATCTGAAGAATCAGAGAAAACTTCTCAAAAGCGAAAATCTCTCACTGTTGAAAAATCATCTTCAGAAGAGGAAGAAAATGATGAAGAAACCCCAGGGGTTGAAGAGACTCTTAACAAATCCAGGAAGAGCCTCAGAAAATCATTGATTGAATCCCAAACTCCATCCAAGCAAAATGAAGATGAATCCAAAAAATCTCCGAAAACTTCTCAAAAGCGAAGATCTCTTACAATCGAAAAATCGTCATCATCAGAAGAGGAAGAAGATGAAGCCCCAGAGGTTGAAGAGCCCCTCAACAAATCTTTGAAGAGCCTCAGAAAATCATTGAATGAATCCAAAACTCCATCCAAGCAAAATGAAAATGAAAGTGAAAAATCCAAAAAATCTTCTCCCCAAAAGCGAATATCTCTCGTAGTTGAAAAGTCATCATCAGACGAAGATGAAGAAACCCCAGAGGTTGAAGAGGCCCTCAACGAATCCACGAAAAATCTGAGATCACTGATCAAATCCAAAACTCCATCCAAGCAAAATGAAGATGAAACATCCAAAAAATCTCCTAAACCTTCTCCCCAAAAGCGAAAATCTCTCACAATCGAATCATCATCATTATCAGAAGATGCCGAAAAAGAGCTTGAAGATAACGTCGAGGGGAAGCGAAGTGTGTCGACGCAAGTCCAGGTGAATTCAAACTCAGAGTCTGACGAAGACATTGACTCTGACGTCGAGCAATCGAGGGTCGTTTCTTCTCTGTTCTTCGGTGAAGACTCAGATTCTAGCGACTCTGACGTAAACTCCGACATCGCGAGGGAGTACAATTTGAATGGAGCCAGTTCTGAGGAGCACTCGGACGATGACGTCCCTGGAGACGACCTCAATGGGTCTGATAACGTCGACGGGAAGCGAAGTGTGTCGACGCAAGTCCAGGTGAATTCTAACTCAGAGTCTGACGAAGACATTGACTCTGACGTCGAGCAATCGAGGGTCGTTTCTTCTCTGTTCTTCGGTGAAGGCTCAGATTCTAGCGACTCTGACATAAACTCCGACATCGAGAGGGAGTACAATTTGAATGGAGCCAGTTCTGAGGAGCACTCGGACGATGACGTCACTGGAGACGACCTCAATGGGTCTGACTTCGAAGAGGCTTCTGATAAAGAAGACGCGGGAGAGGAGTTCGATGATTTCATCAATGACGATGATCATGATGATGAAGAGGAAGAAGAAGAAGATGAAACCCTAGGAATCGACGAGGAAGAAGAGTCAGAGGTGTCCGTTTCGCCCCCAAAACCCACCAAAAAAGATCATGAGAAGTTGAATCTGAGGGCTAACAAGAATCTCAATGAACTGGAGGACACGTCTGTGAAGAAGCCGAAGAGCTCGACCTCAGAGGTGCTCAGGACCCCGAAACCATCGACCCCAGGTGTTCCCAAGGCCTCAGAGAAACCCAAGCAAACTCCAAAGTCACTCCCCCCTTTGAAAAAGCCAAAGTTAGCAAAGAAATCAGAGATGAACCTCACGATGATCCGGGATGATTCAGAGTTAGCAGACACCAGACTGTTGATGAAAGAGAAGTTGAATGACTCGATGCCAATCCTGAAGATGAAGAGGATGTCCTGTAAGAGGAGTGACCTGGAGATTCTTCCTGAGGATAAGTCAGATGAGGTGAAGGAGGGGAAGAAGAAGAAAAAATCGAAATCGAATAAGCACAAGATTCCTGAAGGAGACGATCCTGAGGAGATCGAGGAAGTGAATCTGGAAGTCAGTGATAAGAAATCTAAGAAGAAGAAGAAGAAGCTGAACAGCTCAGAGAAAATGAGTTTCAGCCCCAGCAGAAATGAATCGACGAAACGAAAGAAGAATAAGGAAATCGATGTTGAGATGAATCCTGAAGTGCCAAAACCGAAGAAGAAGAAGATTCAGGTGGTGAAATTAGTTGACAGTGACTCTGACGACGAGCCTGAGGTGCTGTCCTTCAGTCAGGGTCGGGGACAGGCGCTGGCAGCCTTGAAGAGAGAGCAGGAGAGCATCAGGGCGACCAAAGAAGCTAAAAGTCAGAAGAAGATTAAGGGGAATTCAGGGAATTCCAGTGTTATCCCCAGGAAAACGATCAAACGACTGCCTGAGGAGACCCTTGACAACCTCTCCGACGTGCCTCTGAGGCCCAAGAAGAAGAGGAAGATCAATCATGACGTCTTTATGCCCACGAGAACCATGTTCGATGACGAGAACAAAAAACCCAGGAGCATGAATATTGATGATGAATTCATGCCTCTCAGCTTGTCTGGGGGCACGACTACCTTTGAAGTCGTCAGTTTGAGGAAGAAGAAGGAGAGGAAGACCTCGAGCCGCAGTTTCAGGGAGAGGATGATGAATAGAGTCAGTCGTCAACCCATTTCTGCGTTCATGGTTCATCAGCAGAAGCTCCAAGCCTCTGGCAAGAATAAGTATTGAGGAAGAGTTTTGTTTTTGGGGGATTGTCGAAGGGATGAGCATTCTCAGGGGTAAATTTTAGGGGCTTTTCTTTTGGAGGAGTTTTGGTTTCAATTAATAGAAGAGAGGAAATTAATTTATGTTTATTTTGGTTAATGTTGATCAGGAAAACGGGGGGAGCACGTATAAAAAAATTCAATAGAAAACCTTTGCGCGAATTCGCTAGAAAATTCTATTGGAATTCTCTAGAAATTGTATGGGGAATCCATTAAAATTCTAGAGAATTCTCGTTAAAATTCTATTTGTTTTTTGCACAGATTGTATTAGATATTTGATAGGAAAAAGTCAATAGATTTCGATTTTTCTGTTTGATTTTTTCGTTTGAGATATTTTCTAGTAAAATTATTCGGCACGGATTTTCCAAGTTTTTTTCGCTATATTTTGTTTTGTTTTGCATTACAGGATCCGAGTGAAAAAAACTTGGAAAATTTATGCCAAAGTATTCTTACAGAAAAAATTCCAAGAGAATATTCATATAGAAAAATCGAAATTTATTGACTTTTTCCTATCAAATATCTCATAGAATCAGCGCAAAAACCAACTAGAATTTTAATGAGAATTCCCTAGAATTTCAATAGAATCCCAATAGATTTTTCTAGCGAATTCGCTCAGTTTTCTATTGAATTCTTTTATACATGAGGGTTGATTGATATTTGGTTTTACTTCGTTGTTCGTGGGGTTTTCTTGGAAGTAAATGGGAGCCAAGGGAAATGTCGAGAGTTTTTTTTTGTGCAGAATACAATTTTTTACAGGAAATGATTTTTTTTTCTTAGGTTCAATAGCGAAGGGGTAAAATGGTTCAAGTTTAAGTTTAGATTTTGATTATTGGCCAGTTTTCAATGAATATCTCCGAATCTAGGTGAGATAGCAAAATTTTTGTTCATACCTTTTTTATAGCCCTCCATTCGCTCTACAAAAACGGTTATTACCAGATTTTCGTTATCTCTCTTAGATTCGCAGATATTACTAAAAAACTCGGCTGAGGCTTACATCGACGTAAACCGTTTTATCGGTTCATGACTGAATTATCTATTGAGGAATCTGAAATCTACTTTTATGTTATTAATCAGGTAATTATCTCATTTATTAATCGTTTTGATATTTCTGATGTAATTGATTACAGAATAATCTTTGTAGTTATCAAGTTTGAGTGAAAATGTGAAGAAAGTTTTTTGTGGAACATTTCATTTTCTGTAAAAAGTGTTTGTAATTGTTTTCACGTAAAATCATATTTTTATGAACCATGACTTTGAAAGGTATCAACAGTTGTCAATAAAATTAATTGATATTGCTGATATTGTTAATTACGAATTCATCTAGGTAATAATTAATTTTGGATGAAAATGATAGATATTTTTTGTGGAAAATTTTTTGAGCTATAAAAAAGCTCTCTGACCTTTGCTCCTAAATTTCGGGTATCATCACATATTCTATGAACACGTTTCTTCGCTTGAATCAGAAATTCGTTTTGTCAACACGAAAAAGAATCAAGAAATTGATCTTTTGGTTTATATCGATAATTCAGCGGAATAAATGCGTATTTTCTAACTGAATCTTCATTTTTGTTTATTTGGTGAGAAAAATTGATCACTCGGTGAATCTATTCCAATTTGCTTTTGTATTTGTTGATTCATGGTTTATATTTCTGCTAGAAGTCGATTATTCCTTTAATTTAATTCAATTTTTGGTTTTTAGAAAATAGTGTTCATTGCTTGGTTGATGAAATATAGAATTGTAGTTTCAGGATAGCAGATCGAATTTATTTTTCTGGATTATTCTGTGATAAATGAATCATGAGAAGAATGGAGTATAGTTTCGACTCGATTAATTCAAGGAAACGGGAGAAAGCCAATTTTAAGCCTCTAGTGTTTCAGAGAGCATCAATATTCATAAAAAAAAACTGAATAGACATTTCCTGTGGAGAATTTTTTCTGCTAAAAAAAGCTCTTCGGACATCTCCTAAGCTCACGCATCCTCCAGATAATCACACATTCACTCGAGACGTTTCTCCACTTGAATGAGAAACTCGTTTTGTAAAATTAAAAGAGAATCATGAAATTGGTCTTTTAATTGATATTGATAACGCAGAGGAATAAATTTGTATTTCATAACTTAGTCTTCATTTTTACTTATTTGATGAGAAAAATTGATTTCTCGATGAATCTATTCGGTTTTGGTTTTGTATTTGTTGATTCATGATTCATATTATCGCTACAATTTAATTATTCCTTTACTTTAATTAAATTTTTTTTTTGGAAAATAGTATTCATTGCATGGACACTATTAATTGATAAAATATGGAATTTATTCCCCTGTATTATTCTATAACAAATGAATGATGAAAGGCACTTGAATAACTTAAAAAAACGTAAGAAATTCAATTGTAAACCACTAGTTTTTCAGAGGATCAATATTCATTGAAAAAACTCAATAGACATTTCCTGTGACGAAGTTTTTCAGCTATAAAAAAGCTCTTCTCACATTTCCTAAACTCACGCATCCCCCAGATAATCACACATTTAATCGAGACGTTTCTCCACTTCAATCAGAAACACGTGTTGTAAAATTGAAAAAGAATCAGAAAATTGATCTTTTGATTTATACCGATAACGCAGAGGAAAACTTTTGTATTTTATAACTTACTCTTCATTTTTGTTTATTTGACGATCAAAAATGATTATTCGGTGCTTCTATTCGGTTTTGTTTTTGTATTTGTTGATTCATGAACCATATTTCTGCTAGAATTGGGTGATTCCTTTAATTTAATTTAATTTTTGGTTTTGAGAAAATATTCATTGGTCATTGTTTGGACGTTCATCAAATATGGAATTACATTTTTCGGAGTAGCAAAGCAAACTTATTCCTCTGGATTATTTTATGATAAATAAATGATGGAAGGGATGGAGTAAACAGTTGTATCATCACATTGAGCCATCGGCGATCCTCGCAATGTTGTGATTTCTCGCAAGAATACTCGTTATTGAATGCAAACAGGGTGAATGGGAGTATTTTCTTTAGGGGGATGGGAAGAGTCGACGCAGAGACGATGGGAAACTACCGGAAAAAATACTTTTCTATATATAAAAGTTTTTACTTTCGTACATTGCAAGTTAATTATATTTCTCGTCTCTACTTATATGAAGATAAGATGAATGTGTTTGAGTTCTTATCTTTCATCATGTTGCCATTATTGTTTGTAAGGAAAACTTGATAAAAACATTTAAGAAACAAGAGAGGAAGTAGATAGCAATAGCACTGTTACGTAAATTATAAGGATATTTGAGTAATGAAAGAAATACAATTTTTAATATGAAAATACATGTTTTTTCATTTCATTCCTAACTTGATTATATTAGAAGAAAGTGGGGCAAAATGAACCAGGACAGAAAAAACGACTATTTGACGCAATTGAAAAAAATTGTTTTCAGCGACTTTTTTTTCATTAACTTTTGTTTATTATTGGGAGTACAGATCAGAATAATAATTTTAGGGGTTTCGAATATCATTTTTTCGCACTACATGTTCATTTCTACGGAATAGAAAATTGTTATTCTCATCAGTACTCCCAATAATAAAAAAAATTAATCATCAAAAGTTGATAAAAAAAAGTTTTCATTCTATTTTGTGTAGAATATTCAATAAAAGATCAAATTGTTCAGGTATTGATCCGAGTCCAGCTATTGGCCTGTCTATCCTACACAAAAAAAAAAATTATTTTGAGACTTATGATCTCAAATCGAAACTTTTGAATGCCTCTAGTTAAGACTTTCCGAATTTCCCTCAAGGGGTAATGATGAAAATAACAATCGAGCGACTTTTGATCAGGGGTCGCCACATCCATTAATTATAATTACTGTTAAATTATTAAATCATCAATTATTGAAATAATCATCAATTTAAATAGTCAAATTTTGAATTATTCATTAATCTGTAATTGAGTAAGGAATATTGACGATTATTTGGATAATCCGAAATCCCTTATAAGAAATTTAATATTATCTACTTAATAGAAAATTTATAGTTCCATATTTTTAAATATTGAATTCATCATCAATTGGAAATTTAAATTATCAATTATTTTACTATTTTTAAATTTCGATTAGTATACTTAAACCTTGATCAATGTAAGTTGGAAATTCTTTTAATATTGAAGAATCAGAAGATTGATGGCCATACCTGCTTTTGATATATCATGGAGTACCTAAAAAAAACTAAGAAAACTGTCGTATCCAATCCATTTTACCTCGTCCGTCAGGCGAAAACGTCGTTTTTCCTGTTTTGGAAAAGGTTCTACATAACGAAACCTAATTATGAGAAGGACACTGTGACCCTCCAGCCCGGTCAAAATTCATCTGTGAACACTGCACCTTCCGGTAGGACTACAGGACTGGAAACACCTGGGAATTGTGTCGAAATGGAAGAGGTGCGCTGGGCTGTGGCAGTCAGGAGATATTCCGGTCATGCTCAGACATTAGCATCCAGTGAATAAGTTAATTCCTCACGATTCGGTTGCAATTATGGGCTGATTAGATCCGTCTCTCCTCCTTCTTTGGTGATAAATAATTTGAGGAGAAATTATTTGTGGGAATTCTTATTCTCACTGAATTCCCCTAATGGCTTTTGGTGCCAGAGTTACCGAATTAATATACTAAAAGCCGTTTCTTATCGATAATTCTTGCACTCGTTGAATCCAAAATTTTAAGGTGATTCTAGCCGAATAGAAGCAGTGTAATCTTTAAAAGAATGGGCCAATGTTGGCTCAACCCAAGCATTTATGGTCGGTCCAATCTTGTAGGCCAGTGTTGACCGAATCTTTGCGGCCAAGGTTGGCTCAACGTTGGCAGACAATGCTGGTCCAACCTAGATACCTAGTATTGACCTGAGATTGACATCTAATGTTGGCTTACCACTGGTAGTCAATATCGGGTCAACATTGGCAGCCAGTTTTGATCGGATCTTGGCGGCCCAACATTGGCAGACAATGTTGGTTCAGCCTAGTATTGACCTGACATTGACACCTAATGTTGGTATATCACTGATAGTCAATGTTGGGCCAACATTGGCAGCCAGTGTTAACCGAATCATGGCGGCCAAGATTGGCCCAACATTGACACTCGTTACCTAGATTGGCCCAACGTTGGCAGGCAATGTTGGTCCAGCCTAGGTACCTAGTATTGACCTGACATTGACAC